TAGCTTCTCTTGGTTCAAATGTCCCAAATGAGGACAGGAATGTTAAGACTACAAGGGTAATGTAGTTCGTGATGAAACCATGAAGACAGTTCAGCATTCTTCGCAAAAGTCTATTCCTAATATGTCCATGTTTTTCTGTACATGTGGCCATTTTATATAAACACATGTTCTTGGCCAAAGATCCTACGTGTATGTTATTCATATCCTCATTGGTTAAGAGGATGAAACTCCCCTCGACATATGCCTATATAATATCTGTATTTCTATGAATAAATTGAAGTATTGAGGATACATTTGACTGTGTGTTTTCTTACTTCCCGGCCGTCTACACTTTAAGTAACTGAGAATTCTTCAAGGTGGCAAAGAGAATTTACAAAGGGACCAAATTGTTATTCTTTATTAACAGACAGGAAAGCAGAAGTCTTTGATACATTTTGACTTTACAACATTAATAAGAAAACCGCATCACTGTAAAATAAACACAGTCATTTAAAAAGTAACTTAATTACTGTACGCATCTGCTATTAGCTACAACAAAGCACACATTTTTGTGTAGGTTAAAAGAGTATACATTTATGTGAAGAAAGGATAAAAATTCCCAACATATTTACTGGTAGCATTTTTAATTAAAAAAAATCTTTTCCCCCTCTTTTTACTGAAAACCATACATGATTTTTTTGTTTTCTTTTGCTTTCTTGACTTTTTGTAGGAGGTGCATGAGCCTAACCAATGTTTATAAGTATATACTGTATACACTATGACCAATGATTATGTGTATGTGTGTGTGTGTATGTATATATATTATTTAATAAGCTGAGTTACAACCAACCTAATCAGCTTTTCCTCTAATAAATTCTTAATATAATATACTATTTTTTATTCAGATATTAAAATCAATGTTATACAACACAATAATTAATAAACAAGAAAGTACAACAATTAAGCAGACAAAATAAAGTAGAAAATGCCAGGGAGAATACAAACACACACACACACACACACACACACACACACACACACACACACACACACACACACACACACACACACACACACATACACACACAGTCTGGTCAGCTATATCCTTGTAGGGACTCTCCATAGGCGTAATGGTTTTTATACTGTACAAACCGTATTTTCTATCGCCCTACACCAACCCAACACCTAAACCTACCCCTTACAGGAAACTTTGTGCATTTTCACTTTCTAAAAAAACCCCCCTCAATTTAGGTCCCACCATGACAAAAGTCCCCATGAGCCTGTGTGTATTCAGGTTTAAGTCCCCACTAGGATATATAAACCTGTACCCACACACGCACACACGCACACACACACACACACACACACAAATACAATACTATAAAATACAATATAGCACATATAAGATAAATCAAGCACCACTTTAACAGTTACTCACCCATTTTAGAGCTTTGACCTTTGTAACCAACAGTCCTTGTCTGAAGCAAATGTCAAAGGCAACCTGTCAACAAACGAATAAACAAACAAGAAGTTTAAGTAATGTAAACAAAAATCAAACAAGCAACTCAAAACTGAGAACATCACTTCGTACAATGTCAATTTTCTCTCATTAACGCCAAGATTTTTTTTTTTTAAATAAATAAATTTCAAATATATATTTTTTACATTTTGTTCATTTTATTTATTTTGTTCTTTTTTTCTTTAAAAGACTGGTCTATTTATCAAAATAGTCAAACTTAAATACGCTTTGCTTAGGACCCCCCCTGACCTGTCTTTGACCAATGAAATACCGCGTTGCTAAGGGACTGTGCACCAAGGATTAGTGAAGTTAAAATATCCAAGGCAGTAATATGTTCAGACTCAAGTTCAGCCCTAATACGTTTGAATCAGCAGAAGTCAGAAATAAGACAAGATATGATAATAGAGCCATAAAACCGAAGAAGAATTTCTTTTTCTTTTCTTTTCTTTTTCTCTCTCCTTCAAATCCCGCTTAAGAGGGCTGAGGGAGGACGGAGGAGCTGAACACGCAGCGCCGGATGAAGCTCTATGAAGTCTCTCAGCGGTACAAGAATCAAGGGTGTTTGTATGTGGGTTGGTAGGTTAATCAGGAGATTGTAGATAGAGTGTCAATGGTCCATTTGAGATATAGGTGGCGGTAATGCACTTATAAGTCTGCGATCCGCCGTAAAGCAACAAGAAGAAGAAGAAGAAGAAGACCGTGCACCAATGCATTCCATTCATCTTTAGACCTGAAGAAATCGCGAATCGAGACATGCAAGAGGGCTTCATCGCTTTGCATATGTTTACTGAAAATCTTTTTACGTAGTTGACAGTACTTTTGTTCAGTAAGCCAGCAGTTTCGGTGAGTATTTTTTGTTAAATACTACAGTGATGAGTCCTGCAAAATCGTTTTGCTAATCTCTGAATCATTATTCGGTGAACAGTAGCATTTAGCTTGTAAACTGTTAGCTGTTTCTAAACCAGTATTGTTGACAAACTAAGTTAGGGTTTCTTTTACTGCATTACCAAAGCCTTTCAATATGTTTGTTTTACTGTAATATATTCTTGAACAAAGAATGTGTAAATTGAATCTATTTTTTTTTTCCAAAGCGAATTTTGTTTAAAACAAATGATTGTTGTTTGTAGAATATATCCCCAAGAAATGCTATTATTTATTAACAAATAATAGCATTATTAAATAATGTTACTGGTTAACTTAACCAATAAATTTGATTATTTTCTTGCTTTTCCTGACTAGATTTCCAAAATGGGGGAGCCACAGCAGGTCAGTGCTCTTCCACCTCCTCCGATGCAGTACATCAAGGAGTACACGGATGAAAATGTGCGAAAGGGACTGGCCCCCAAACCCCCTCCTCCTATTCGAGACAGTTACATGATGTTTGGCAATCAGTTCCAATGCGATGATCTCATTATTCGACCACTGGAGAACCAAGGCATCGAGCGCCTTCACCCTATGCAGTTTGACCACAAAAGAGAACTCAAGAAACTAAATATGTCCATCCTGGTCAACTTTCTGGACCTTCTGGACATCCTCATCAAAAGCCCAGGCAGCATTAAGCGAGAGGAGAAGCTGGCACTTTAGTCTAATGAGTGACAAACATTTTAACTAAATGATACATGTATCCTTGGCAAATAACCACAAAGCCTCTGTATTTGCAGCGTCGTTTTAATAAGCTGTTTCCATGTCCTTGACTAGTAAATGCAAGTTTTTTGCTGGCCAATATGCCACTAAACATTTATACTATAACATAAATGAGCACGTGTCACAAGTTTACAAAGATTTATGTAAGTTAGTATGAAAGGATTTCCTAAAATAAAGTTAAGCTTGTGTAGAAGAATAGTAGAACTATTCATGTAAACAAATTAGGATTCATGTTTAATTATATTAACTTAATGTTATTCCTCGCGGTTTGTGGCTATGGCTGTAGTAGTGGCCCCAGATGCTTTAATCTAAAGAAAAACTTCTTCCTACGTGCGGCAAAAGCTGAAATACACAAGAGAAACGCAAGAAAGCAAATCATTATCAAATCACAATTCTTGAACGCCCATATATGTCCATGGCAGTTTGCTTTAGAGGTCGCATTACCGCGGGACCCGACCTGATTTTTTTGCGCCACGGAATTAAATTCCCGAATAAAACGCGGTAGCGGTCGGTAACTCTGGTGTAATTTGAACGGGAGTCTAACAATATCCCGTTCCCGACGTCCATTTAGAACAGCATATCTGCGCTTTATTCTTATTGACCACCTGTACAGCTTGCGCTCAGGACTGTTATTTACTTTAAACAGTAAAGTAAACGTTTTATTTGCGGGGTCTGTGCACAGCATGTACATAACGATGCTCAGAGCAGACTGTACCTGTGGTAAATATACTATCCTCAGACAGAACAGGCAGGTTGTCGATGAGTGACAGAGCAGAATAAGGATGGAGCAAAGTGAGGATGCGCTGTCCTTGAAGGACGTTCAACTCAGTTTTGTTTATATTTTGCTTAGCCTATCATTTTAAATGACAGATGTCGTATTAATTAATTTTTCTTCTGCGACACTTTTCCTACTGTGTTAACAGAAAAATGTCAAACGAATTTAGTATTTTAACAAGACGAATAAAAATAGATATTTTTGTACAACCTACACTTTTTCCTATTGTGTTGTCAATGTTAAACGAATTGTATCGTGACAAGACGAATTAAAATAAGAAATAAAATTTTTGTACTACTAAAAAAATAGTCCCGCGCAGACCTCTAGTTTGCTTTGTAGGCGTCTGTCGTTGAATTAGTGCGCGAGATTCCCTGTTATGAAACGCGGCGTTTGCTGTTTCACAACAGGAGCAGGGAGCCAATGGGAAGCACCACAACGCGTCACGTGTTTTTTTTATTTATGTAATGTAATGGTGCCAGAAGCGAACCCAGTACAATCTGCTTGCTACACAAGAGAAAACTGTTGTAAAATCAGAAAAACAGATCCGTCGGTTGCTTTTTATTTCGTGCTTGCACTGCTTTGATGGAGTTCAGAGGAGTCTCGCTGATCGGACTGAAGCGATTCATCATGCACAACAAGGGAAAACGTTACTCTCACAGCAAAGACTGAGATATGATTGATAATCATACATATTAAATGTATTGCCATATAGATAAGTCAGTTGGAGAGGGAATCATAAAGCATGCTATTGGCACAATTTTGCAAAAACTGTCATCGGCCTTTGGAAGCTTATAAAAGCAGTGATCACGCAATGAGATAGGGCACAGCTTTAAAACTACCCGTGTCGTTTAACTTTTTAATCATGCCACCTTTCTTGCTAAAGGATCGAGCTGTGTAACTTGACAAAAGGCATCAGCTGTTCAACTCTGGAGCTGTCACCGGATTAAAGAGTCGAGCATGGATCTGCTGGAGTGTCCGATCTGTCTGTTCCTCATGTGCGAGCCAGTGACCATGAGCTGCGGTCACTCTTTCTGCAGGAGATGCATGGGAGCTTTCCTGCCCTCGCGATGCCCCACATGCAAAGACCGATTGAAACAGAGAGATGCGAAAAACATCAAGAACAATGTGTTACTCTTCAGCGTCATAGAGAAATGTTGCCCCGAAGAGACTAAGATGAAATGTCACATTCAAGAGAAACTGAAAACGAGCGAGTTTACAGAAGCTCTGCGTATTGCCGATGAAGGGATCGAGATGGGTAAGGATGCATTGCAAACGCCTTTTACCGGGGGAACTGACCTTATGCAACCACGCTGGTGTTTTTATACAGCGGGGAACGTTTAGTGTCCAGTTTCGGTTATGCAAACTTATTTATAGAACATATGCACATTCGCAGTTCTGTCTATGAACATTTTTCCTTTTTTCTGTATATTTTTATTACTATTGCTATTTATAATTTATTGTCTATTCTCTCATTTTATGTATGTCTGCACCTTGTTTGTATTTTCTGTACCGGAAGCTCCTAACACCAAGACAAATTCCTTGTGTGTGTGTGTGTGTGTGTGTGTGTGTGAACACACTTGGCAATAAAGCTCTTTCTGATTCTGAAACTGAAGATGCAGATGCTCGGACTATGGCCTTGTCTCAATGTTGACAACTGAGAATCAATTCGGTTCTTTTCTTTCAAAAATTAAAGAAATGGCAACTGAGTGATTTTGTTATTATGCTTAGTTCCTGTGCTCTAACGAGCGTTCGAAACGTACAGTGCGACTAGTGTTGTTGAACGAATCACTCGATGAGTCGTTTGTTTTTTGTGAGTCAAAACATACAGCACAACCAGCGTAGTCATAATACCGAACTACTGACTCTTATGAGCCGAGTCTTTTTTGTGAATCAAAACACACAGTACGAATCAGAATATCAAAAGAATGATTCTTATGAGCCAGTTCATTTGAATAAACCAAAACATAACCGAAGTCACATACTGACTTTTGACTCACTGAACCGCGAGCTTCATCATGTCTGGCTCCAAATAAACCAAAACATTGTTAGTTACTGTAGCATGTTGTACTTAAGACTCGCGGGAGTTAGTGTTAAGGATTGGTTATTCATATGTAAATACACATTATTATTCAACAGGCATAGCCTACATCATTAATCAGTATTTTATGAAAAATAATGTTTCGATATTTTTATTCCAATATTTTTATTTAGTGTATTGGTTATGGCACTGCATTTATACCACCTCTAAAACGTAAACCTGTATTTTGGTGCATAATAGCAGTTTTGGTTCATAAGTGCGCTAGGTGACATGAAAGGTGCCTAGTTAGTACAGTATATATAGGGTATTAAGACCTAGATTTTAAGACATCTTATATGTCAAATCAAAGCCAACTGTAACCTTTCTTGTTCTTGCTGTACATTATATTTATAACCCATAATAATAACTGGCACTTGCCTTTTATAGGACATTTATGACAGCACACTTCATTCTGCTAAAGTAGGTCAATGAGTTTGTGAACCTCACACTCATTAATGAAAAAAGTAATGCATTCTATGTAATGGAAAAACTCCAGAAGTATGATGATTTGAATTACATTTTAACAAGTAACTGAAATATAGTATTCAATTCAGTTCAAGTTTATTTGTATAGTGCTTTTCACGATACAAATCGTTGCAAAGCAACTTTACAGCAAATTAGGTTTCTACAATATTTAGTGGTAGCTTATCAGTGGTGACTGTCAGTTAATGTACATATGGCAGAAATGTATGGAAAAATCTATTAAAGACGTAATCAAACAGACGATGAACACTATTAACAGCAATTATTATATGATGCAATCAAACTTATAGAAAAATGTGGTAGTTCTGTATGTTGTTTCAGGGTTGGCATCATCTGAGGGCCTCTGAGGGGTCGGCATCATCTCTTCTCAGGTGTTCTGGATCCAGACTGAAGCGTGTGTAAATCCTAGAAACAAATAGAGACATAATTAGCGTAGCTGCTGTTCCAACCAAGCAAAATTGATTTGTTTAACCCAAGCTAAAGAATAATAATGCGCATTTGATTAGATATAACTGCAGTACAAGATTATGAGATGCATTATTTGAATGCTTGGCCAAAGAGATGTGTCTTTAATCTAGATTTAAACAGAGAGAGAGTGTCCGAACCCCGAACGTTATCAGGAAGGCTATTCCAGAGTTTGGGAGCCAAATGCGAAAAAGCTCTACCTCCTTTAGTGGACTTTGCTATCCTAGGTGCCGCTGCATTTTGGACTACCTGTAGCTTGTTTATTGAAGATGCAGGACAACCACCTAGCAGTGCATTACAATAGTCCAGTCTAGAGGTCATGAATGCATGAACTAGCTTTTCTGCATCAGAAAAAGGTAACATGTTTCATAGCTTGGCAATGTTTCAAAGATGGAAGAAGAATGCTGTTTTTGTAACATGGAAAATATGATTTTCAAAAGACAAGTTGCTATCTAATATAACACCCAGATTTTTGACTGTAGAGGAAGTAACAGTACATCTGTCTAGTTGCAAATTGTAATCCAAGAGATTCTGTGTACTGTTTTTTGGTCCAATAAGTAATATCGTTGTCTTATCCGAATTTAATAGGAGAAAATTATTTGTTTTTTACATTTTGAACACACTCCGTTAGCTTATATAATTTAGAAGTTTCATCTGGTCTTGTTGAAATATATAGTTGAGTATCATCAGCATAACAGTGGAAACTAATCCTGTATTTTCTAATAATATTACTAAGGTTCAACATGTATATTGAAAATAGCAGAGGACAGATCCTTGTGGCACTCCATATTTTACAATTGTTACAGTTATAATCGAGATGCAGATATGAACCATGTATATGAACCAAGTATGTGAACCATGTCAGTTCATGTCATCACTTTGGAAAATGCACCAGAGAAATGACGTAAGGAACACACTGAATGCATGTTTTGAAGCCTATAAACACAGGTAGGCAGAAATAATGAAAGCCATATGCAGCAGGAGTTTGAAATCATTTTTTTCTAGAAATATTTGCCTTAGATTGCAGCATTCTAACACAGCGTGGGTTAGTTGAAGATTGTTAGATATTGTCTTTGTGATCCACCTACTCACACAAAAGTGAGCGGAGAGCTGTGGTTGTTGAAAGCAACAGTGATTTCTCAGGAATCTCAGGTCTTCTAAAGGGTTAATGAGCAGCAGGGAAAGTGGGTTAAAACATGTTGTGAGTGGCTGATGTCATTAACAGACAGAAGCCAAGGGTAAATAAAGCTATGAAAACACCTCTAGGGCACACATTGGTGAAATAACATGTCCCCCTAGGTATATAATCTACACAAAGGAGACATATAGTAAGAAGCACAAATACAGTTGTGGAGAATCGGGTGCAATTAATGTATCCTGTGACGGTTTGAGCTAGTGCAGTTTAATAATATTGTAAGGTTCCTCTCTTGTAGATATAGCATTACTCTTAACAGCAACAGTACCATTTGCCCTTTAGTGAATTACGTATCATTTTACAGCCACTGAATGACTATAGTTGAGTATCATCAGCATAACAGTGGAAACTAATCCTGTATTTTCTAATAATATTACTAAGGTTCAACATGTATATTGAAAATAGCAGAGGACAGATCCTTGTGGCACTCCATATTTTACAATTGTTACAGTTATAATCGAGATGCAGATATGAACCATGTATATGAACCAAGTATGTGAACCATGTCAGTTCATGTCATCACTTTGGAAAATGCACCAGAGAAATGACGTAAGGAACACACTGAATGCATGTTTTGAAGCCTATAAACACAGGTAGGCAGAAATAATGAAAGCCATATGCAGCAGGAGTTTGAAATCATTTTTTTCTAGAAATATTTGCCTTAGATTGCAGCATTCTAACACAGCGTGGGTTAGTTGAAGATTGTTAGATATTGTCTTTGTGATCCACCTACTCACACAAAAGTGAGCGGAGAGCTGTGGTTGTTGAAAGCAACAGTGATTTCTCAGGAATCTCAGGTCTTCTAAAGGGTTAATGAGCAGCAGGGAAAGTGGGTTAAAACATGTTGTGAGTGGCTGATGTCATTAACAGACAGAAGCCAAGGGTAAATAAAGCTATGAAAACACCTCTAGGGCACACATTGGTGAAATAACATGTCCCCCTAGGTATATAATCTACACAAAGGAGACATATAGTAAGAAGCACAAATACAGTTGTGGAGAATCGGGTGCAATTAATGTATCCTGTGACGGTTTGAGCTAGTGCAGTTTAATAATATTGTAAGGTTCCTCTCTTGTAGATATAGCATTACTCTTAACAGCAACAGTACCATTTGCCCTTTAGTGAATTACGTATCATTTTACAGCCACTGAATGACTGCAATTATCTGTCTGGTAACATAAACCCTACGAGGCAAAAGTGAGATGTCTGTCAACTCTTTGAATCCAATTAAGAGGCAGTTTCCCGTACACTCAGCATTCTGCCCCACATATACTTTCCCTGTTGTGTAACCAAGGATCCTATGACATAATCTGGTTTTGTATGGGTAACAACCCGGTTATTTCATCTGTCAGAGTGCACATATGTAAGTGACGTAAATACATTTTCCCCCTCTTTATGCAATAATTCATAGAAATGTTGGATTTCCACTCATTGCCAGATCCCTTTGTAGTTGTGTTTGATTAATCTTTGATTAATGCACGCTCATCCACCACTTCCTTTGCTTATTTTGTAGCCGGTGAACTATATCCGTTGCACCTAATTTTTATACATCAGGCATTTTCTTCTCCTTCCTTTTGGATTATGCTATTAGATAGTCATGTAATGTCATCCAAAATCATTACTTTTTAGCTGCGTTGGTTCCGGAAGTGTTTTTTCCATTCATTTTTCCTATTTTAAAAAGTCTTTGTTAAAGTGTTATATGCCACACTCTTAAAAATATATGTTCCAAAATGGGGTTTTCACAGTGTTTTCATAAAATAACCATTCCCTTTGTTCTCAAAATCCTAGACAATTTTAAAATAGGTTGAAATAATGTGAACAGATTTGATCAGGTTTGTCTTTAAAGGTTTATAAGTTAGATTTTTTACATTGGGAAACCCGACTGTTGCATGCTATTTAAGTTAACTATGCACTAATACACAGTGTTTTGATGGTGGTGGGAGGAATGCTTATGCAGAGTGCTGCTGTTCACAGCTGAGTGTTAATGTGCATTTAGGTTGCCCTTTTTGTTAATGCACATTTAAAACGCTCAAAACAGATAAAAGTCTATGTCTGAAATTAGACTGAGGGCCACACTCTCCATCTTTTCTTGTATCTACAGCCCCTGAAGATGTGAGTCTGAAAGTGTGGCGAGCTGAGGCCTGCATGGGCCTCCGTCGCTTTTCTGATGCCCTCCGTGACCTGGATGATCTGTGCTGTGTGCGACCCAACTGGACTGAGGTGAGGGCCGTCTTTGCTGACTGTGCTGATTATTTGCATATAGGGACAAGACTTTTGTTTAGGAACAGTGTTAACAAAATCAGTATCAATTTCAAATTTCACATTTCATCCAGGGTTATTGCTTTTGTTTCCTGCCATTTATTCTGCATACTCACTCTAAAATCTCTAAAATGTCTGTGCATTATCATGACAATGACTGACAGTTTCGCAGTTATGCAAGACCAGAGCACATTGTGGGATTTGACATTATTCTCACAGCAGTATACTGGCATACACCACCATTCAGTTTATATTTATTATGTTTCAGAATATTTAGTTAAATGCAAATAAATGCTGTTGTTATGAACTTTCAATTAATCAAAGAATTCTGAAAAAAAGTACCACAAAAATATTAAGCAGAACAACTATTTTCATTGTTTATAATAATATGAAATGTTTCTTGACCGCCAAATCAGCATATTAGAATGAATTCTGAAGGATCATGAGACTGAATACTGGAGTAATGATGCTGAAAATTTGGCTTTACCGTCACAGGAATAAATTACATTTTAAAACATATTCAAATAGAAAACAGGTATTTTAAAATAATATTACGTTTTTTTTTTTTACTGCATTTGAGATCCAATAAACTTAGCCTTGATGAGCATAAGAGACTTATATTTTACTTCTTACTGACTAATTACAGAATTTTGCTATCATGTTCATTAAATATTTAATAAATTAAATAGCGTTACCTGTGATAATTTGTGTTTGAATTCTGTTTTGTAGGGTTTCTTTCGTAAAGGGAACGTGCTTCTTGAAATGGGAAGACAGACCGAAGCCCTCATCCAGTTTTACCGTTGCCTGAAGCAGCATCCTGATTTTGCCCCTGCAAAAAATCAGATTAAGAAGGTGACTTTTTCAGAAATCGGGTTTGATGAACAGATCATATACTGCTAAACACTTTTCTGGAGATGGAATCATGCCTTATAGAATCATTTTGAGTGATTCAGTATCAAGAGAGCATGTTTTGCTTAAAAACATAAATTAATGTTTCAATGATACACTCACTGATTTGTGTGCAGATCCTGGAAGCAGAGGGCATGGCTGTACCAGAAGAAGTTCCACGGATCCTGCATGTTGTGTCTGAGTACTTGCAAGATCCCTGTCCTATCACCAGCTCTGTAAGCCCCTCATGTCCAGATGGTCAGCGCTACTCCCACAACAATGCTGAAGGTCAAAGTGATCCTGTGCAGGTGAGGTGTTTATGCACAGCACTAATGATGTTGTGTAATGACACTTTTGAAATGTAACATTGGTAAAGTGAGCAACAAATATCAAATGGAAAGATCTGGTATTATTGTTATTGTAATGTTTTTCCAAATATCAATTTATTATAATTGTTTTTTTCATGAAAATAGCCCTTGATACTAATATGGCAATCATCTGGTATGCTTTTCATCAATTATGAAAAGTTTTTGCCCACTCTCAGGCTCTTTCCTGTTCTGTCCTAGAATGCAACTAAAGTGAAGCACGGCACCAGCGGCGAGTGCTGTCTGAGCCTGTGTCAGGCTGTGTCCTTCCTCCCCACAGCTGAGGATGATGAGGAAATGATGATGAAGAGAGAAGAGAAACAGAACAGAGGTGAAGTTATCTTAAAAGTGTTAGTTCACCCAAAAATTCAAATTAGCCCACGAATTACTCACCCCTGAGGCATCCTAGGTGTATATGACTTTCTTCTTTCAGACGAATCCAGTCGGAGTTATATTAAAAATTGTCTTTGATCTTCCAAACTATTATTAATAGGCTCCAGCATCTTCGCGACCCTACAATGGATAGGCAGTTTGGAGAATGGATGGATGAATAATTATTATGAATATAAATATTATTACATTTGACTTCATAATCAAGGCGCAACCAATTCTCCCTTCATTTTACGTCCTCATTAGCATGATCAGACAACAAATCAAAATGACATCTATTCAAGCTTGATTTTGTTTGTTTGATTCTGTAGGTATGTGCAATGCGGGCAGAGAGTCCTGCCTCAGCGTTCTGACAGTGACTGATTTTGAGTGTCCTCTCTGCATCAGGTCAGTGGAGATTTATAGTGCGTCCTGCTTCACTGGCATTATTTCCTGCTACCAGACACTTTCTTTTCCTTTAGCTTTGCTATAGTATTTAAATGTTAGATTACAGCAGGCAATTGCTTATTTGAAGACAATACTTTTGTAATACTTTAAACCAGTGTAATTCAATATAGGGTAAATAACATATAGGGTAAATAACACTGTTTTACTCTTGTTTTGTGGTTCTCCAAATGTATTGCAAAATATTACGGTTATTATCAGCTGAATTTTCCACCGTTGTAGTGGCCTGGATCGGCATCTGCAAAATTATCCTCTTCTTAATGAATAGGATAACACCAGATGGTTAAAAAATCTAGCAGTCTCTCAGCTTGCTGTACATCACTTACACAAGTTGTGCATAAACAGAATTATTTGTTAATTGCCCGCTTCTTATCGTTGCTCGTATCATGATGGATGGATTATCAAAGGTTATTCTATGAGCCAGTGACAACACCCTGTGGACACACCTTCTGCAAAAACTGCATTGAGAGAAGTCTGGACCATAATCTACGCTGTCCACTTTGTAAACAACCACTGCAGGAGGTACTACTAAAACATAGACTCTTACAATGATTACATGTTTCTAACATTTAGAAGCATGTAGAAACATGCCTTAGAGTAAATAAAGACCTAGTAGTCTGATCCTTCTAATGCAAGTCAATCTACAAAAAAAAAAAAAAAACCTGAGCAAATCATGTTACATAGAAGCATCAGTCTCACCGCATTACTTCCTATTCCAGTATTTTAAGAACAGGAAGTACAACACCACCGTGCTGCTGCAAGAGATCATGTCCCGCCTCTTCCCCCAGCAGTTGGCAGAAAGGAAACAGGTGCACGAGGTGGAGATGGCAGAGCTCTCAAAGTGAGTGATAACAGTGATAACAAATAAACAGTAGTCCTGTCTATACGTTACTATCAACTCACATTCCTAAGCTGCTCAACTCCAGTATCTGCAAAATGATGCTTTTCGCAATGAAATGGGACAAAATGAGATGGTTAAAATGTCTAGCAGTGGTTTTAGCAGTCCAGAAGCTGTTGGATACTGGGAAAAGTTATGCAAAAGCTAAATTATTTATTAATTGCACTCTCTTATCTCTAGTTTGACTAAGGACATCCCAATCTTTGTGTGCACGGTGGCGTACCCTGGCATCCCATGTCCACTGCACATCTTTGAGCCTCGTTACCGTCTGATGATGCGGCGATGTATGGAGACGGGCACCAAAAAGTTTGGCATGTGCAGCTACGAGCACGGCAAAGGGTATACAAATAAAAGATCATGCAGTTAGCATCTATCATAACTTCTGCACTATTACAGATTTTAAGAAACTTTAAGTTGTTATTTATTAGATACTGTAAATATATATACACTTTTGCTTTCAACAGTTTGGGGTTAGCAGTGTTATATATGTATATATGGAATAAATATGGAATGCCTTTTTGAACCCAGAATTCCCTGTCACAGCTTTGCAGATTATGGCTGCATGTTGGATATTTTGGATCTGGATTTGCTTCCTGATGGTCGATCCTATGTGGAAACAGTGGGAGGAAGTCGCTTCCGAGTGCTCAGGAGAGGACAGAGAGATGGCTACCACACAGCTGATATTGAGTACCTGGAAGACCATAAGGTCAGAGGTTACAGACTGTCCTAACTTAGATCTAAGGCCAAGAAAAATGACATCAGAAAAGTCTTTATTGCAATACAGTGGTATTAATACGCATGAAGTCAGACTGTATGGCAGATATTCAAAATCTAAACCTTATAACCAGATTATACAACAATTTTCTGCCTGTAATGTAAATTAAATTGTGCTCATGGGGATTTATTACAGAAACATCTGAAATTCAAGAATTCTATTTCATCTGTTTAGTAATCATGATGATTTCAGTTAGTTTAGTCAGATCTTAACCTTAAGATAAGCAGTTTCTGTAAAACAGCCCTTGATGTAAAGGAAATTGCACTTCTCGCATTAAAGATTATAGTTCCTGTCATAATAGATATCTGGCACATGTTTATCTGAGATGTTTCCTGATGGCACACTTCCATTCTATAATTTACCCTAGTGTCTATGTACTTCCTCTAAAAACTCAGTATAGTATTCTCTCACAGTAAGCTGTTGTAATAGCAAGCTTTTCCTGTCATATTTACAATCAACTACTTATATCATAATATAGTGTATTGTATATTATTAACTATAGTAAACATTTCAGTATTTTACATTAAAACATAACATTTTAGTAAAGAAGTTTTAAATACTGTTTTCATAAAGGTGGATCATATTAAGATTTAATTTTTACTCCTGCAATTAAACGTTTTAAAACATGAATGAAATGTTTTTAGGCAACAGTGTGACATTCTTGTGCAGTCTGGTTTTCTGTTATGTTAAAACGCTTTAATCTTCTAGTCATGTTCCCTATGGTTATGTGTCTTAACCATCTAAATAAGGTGTCATGATTAAGAATTTAATGAAAAGCATCTATTAAAGATTCATGAGAGAGAGTTATTACTGCTATCACAAGCCTGAGCCTGTGATGGATTGCTTATAATGACAATAAATACAAAACCTTTTGTTAGTACTGCAAATTTAATATCAAGTAAATACTTAATGTTAATTAGAGTTAATTGCAAGAGTATTCAGCAAACATTAGGAAGAGGAGCTTGTGATTTACCTGCCTGTTAGTCAACAAATTCAAGCTCTTTTCAAACCCATCTACATAACGATTACACAAGCGTTACTTTATCCTGAAGCTGAAGTAAAACTTCTACTTGTTTGTCTACCTGACATTTGCATGCATTTGTGTTTAGGTCGAAGGTGCCGAGCTTGAATTACTGCAGCATCTCCATGACAGTGTGCATCAGCAGGCGAGAGAGTGGTACCACCGTCTGAACAGCCGCATTCAGGAGCAGATCAGCCGGCAGTACGGCATCATGCCCGAGAAAGAGGACGATATACAGGTCAGAGCCTACAGAATATTGCTTTATTAGCAAAACTACAGATCGTGCATTTTAATAGTAACTCCCTAACGAGAATGAATGTGTTTTTGTGCATTGCAGGCATCTGCTAATGGGCCGGCCTGGTGCTGGTGGCTGCTGTCAGTGCTGCAGTTAGATCCAGCCTATCAGACCACCGTTCTGTCTCTGACCTCCCTGAAGGACAGACTGGGTCATCTACGTATCGTACTAGAATACTTCTCTCAGAGCTAGGACGGAGACACATTAAGTGCCCATATATCTGATCACATCACATGCATGCACCACAAAAGACATGAATTATCTTCTGATTTAAACAGAGCGATTTGTTTGCTCTTGCTACAAAATGTAATATTTTTTTGATCATAAACCGTACACAAGATCTCTTGTGGTTGGATAACACATTGGAAAACTATGATATGGGTTGGTTTAAAAATGAGATGACCTGTTCCAATGGTTGTACAACTATTGAATTAGTCATTTAACTAATTCCTACTTCAGTCGAGCACCAAAGAATCAAGGACTCGTTCTACACAGAACAGCTGTTTATTGGTTTACGCTGTTCGCTTCATTAAACATCATCAGAGTGGATGCCAAATGCTGCAGCTAGTTTTGTTGACATACATTTGAGATGTTTCCAGTAGTACAGGGCCCTGGACAGAATTTGTTTTTAAATGTGTAGCTCGCATTTGTGGCCGAGAGGGAAACAGTTGGCCCAAGAGACTGATGACTGAATAGGAGCTCACTGATTATGCATGAATTAAACACTTATGACTACAGCCTCAAAATCTCACAATTCCGGCCGTAAGTTTTAGTAGAATCAGAAATAATATTATCCTCAGTAACAGATGAGGAGTTACATTAATATCGCAAGACTAATGGCACAGAATACACTTCTTTTTTGATGAATGAAAGCTGCTAGCTGTGGTAGTTTCATTCATAGTATTAAATGTGTTGCAAGCTTGCTGGCATGACAGTAGAGAGGAGAGAGGAAGGGATTCCCATTCAAAAATTTGAGGCAAATAAGATTTTTTTGAAAGAAATTAACACTTTTATTTAGCAAAGATGCATTAAATTGATTTAAAGTGAAAATAAATATTTCAAAGGATTTCTCTTTTAAACACTGTTCTTTTTAACTTTCTATTTATCAAAGAATACAAAAAAATAAAATAAAAATCAGCATATTAGAATCATTTCTGAAGGATCGTGTAACACTGAAGACTGGAGTAATGAAAATTCAGCTTTGCCTTTATAGGAATAAATTACATTGTAAATGTATCCAAATATAAAAGTTATTTTAAATTGTTATAATGTTTTACTGTATTTTCCATTAAATAAATGCAGCCTTTCAGAAACATAAAAAATAAAAATAAAATCTTACATACCCCAAACGTATGAATGGTAGTGTAAAATACTCTTAATCACACAGCAGTTGTGGGAGGTGCTGTGAAGGTTTTAGCTATCTGGTTGATCATTATTGCTCTCCAAACCTTTGTGCCAGTCATATAGGATTATTTCTGTGTGCTTGTGCCTTGTGATGGGCCTTAATCTAGTTTAAGATATTTGGTTAAGGACTGCGGATTTATGTTCCTTATTTTTCCTTTCTTTGGTCAGTGCCACATTCCGAGGAATGTTAAAACTGCAATGTTACATGTGATGTAACACTTACATGGGCTTGAAACTGACTTTGTTCATGCTCTGGTGTTTGTGCCATTGTTTTTTTTTATTTTTTTAATCTCATACATGTCTAGCTCCTAATGGCTGGAAGTCCAGGGGTTAACATGCATCCACCTGCACTGTTAATTTATTTTTTAGGTTTTTCATATTTGATATGTTGTGCACTGCTCTGAAGATTACTGTCATTTTGCCATATTGAAAACCAGTTACTAACTGGTGGGTGCTTTGCTTTCAACCATGTTTTGAATGCAGTATGCCTATAAACGTACTGATTTTAGATTTGTCTTATTTGAAGAAGTGTAAATTTGGGAACTTTTGCAGGACAGATTGGACACAAAAAGGTTCATCCAAAAACTGAGATTTAAAGAGGCCTCAGTTATGTTCCACTTCACACTTCATCACAGCTTTAAATGATCACACCTCCATGGTCAAAGTCATGCTGAGCCACACATAATTCATGAACGCATGGAGTGATTCAGAGAGACAAATGTTTATGAAAGGGATTCAAATCAGAGTAGGTTTTTATTTGAATTTGCTTTAGTAATTTAAGTAAGACTTTACTGATTGATGCATCTGATGTGTTGTTTCATATCTAAGGTGCACTCTTGACTTCTAATACCTTCCATCCTCAGGATACGGGGCTTGAAAAATCACTTACAAATGCTATTGCTTCATCTGTCTGTAGTTTCTCAGCATTGTGGTGGTGAGCCTGATAATGTCAAATTCTCACCCTTCTGGTTTAATTGTATGTGAAGGTGGCAGATCCTGTGGTATTGCTTTGGGATAGTAAAAGTGCAATTTAGAGTGACTTTATTCTTCACTGATAGTCCCGTAAAAAAGAAGGATGCTATAGCCCTCAAATCAACTCAACTCTTTTTACTTACACAAATCAAGTCTTGTGTAAGTAAAAAGACTTTGATTAAATTTAATCTACAAATATAGATTAGCCAAATCAGAATCACTAATCAAGATTATATCCTCTGTTTTGTAAAATTGTTTGAAAGGCAATCATTTCCATTCAATGGCAAATTATGCTTTTTCATTTATTTCAAATGATCAGTGGACTCTGATGCAAAGTATTTCTTCTTTCTTTTTTGTCACTAATTCTTTTTAATGTCATATATTGATGTGTTTGGAATTAAGGCAGTCTTCGGCAAACTATTTTAAAATTTGTTTTCCCTGGTGTAATCTAGGGACCTGTATCAGTGATTTTTCTTTTGAGAGATTTGTCTTTAACTCTTAATGAGTTATGAGATGCACATAATACAATAAATGTAATATTTAAATAAATCATTGAAAATATCATTGTTTTTCTGTCTGTGAAGGTGGCAGATCCTGTGGTATTGCTTTGGGATAGTAAAAGTGCAATTTAGAGTGACTTTATTCTTCACTGATAGTCCCGTAAAAAAGAAGGATGCTATAGCCCTCAAATCAACTGTCTTGTGTAAGTAAAAAGACTTTGATTAAATTTAATCTACAAATATAGATTAGCCAAATCAGAATCACTAATCAAGATTATATCCTCTGTTTTGTAAAATAGTTTGAAAGGCAATCATTTCCATTCAATGGCAAATTATGCTTTTTCATTTATTATCATTGATCAGTGGACTCTGATGCAAAGTATTTCTTCTTTCTTTTTTGTCACTAATTCTTTTTAATGTCATATATTGATGTGTTTGGAATTAAGGCAGTCTTCGGCAAACTATTTTAAAATTTGTTTTCCCTGGTGTAATCTAGGGACCTGTATCAGTGATTTTTCTTTTGAGAGATTTGTCTTTAACTCTTAATGAGTTATGAGATGCACATAATACAATAAATGTAATATTTAAATAAATCATTGAAAATATCATTGTTTTTCTGTCATTGGAATTGGCAAAAATCAATCAAACAATACAAACAAAGCAAAAAACAAAATAATAATTAAAAAAACCCATAAAAATCAAAACGATTTATCGCTAGTTTGTATTACCAAGCAACCACTAGATGGCGTTATACAATCACAAAATGATAGGCATGTCTGATGTAAAACCCCTTATCAGCATCTTCCATTTCTTGAAGTAAGACGCTAGTGCCCCCCCCCCCAGAATTGTTTTATTTCTGTTAAGATATATAAAAATATGTCTGTGTGTTTTTTGATTTTGGGGGTCTAATATTATTTTATTATTTATATAATATTATTTAACACTTGTTAATAACTAGTTTACAATAAGGTTTCATTCGTTGGTGTTAGTTAATGCATTAGATAACGCAACTAACTAACAATGGGCAAATTACGCTAACAGATACAAATTTTGACTTTAAAAATGTATTAGTAAATGTTGAAATTAACATGGATTAGAAATGCTTTATACGCATTTTTTATTGTTAGTTCAAGTTAAAAGGGGTCATATGATGCGATTTCAATTTTTCCTTTCTCTTTGGAGTGTTACAAGCTCTTGGTGCATAAAGAAGATCTGTAAAGTTGCAAAGACTAAAGTCTCAAATCCAAAGAGATATTCTTTATAAAAGTTAAGAGTCGACCACGCCCCCCTAAAACGGCTCGTTCTAACACGCCCCCACATATCTACATCACGATGTGGGAAGATTTGCATAACGCCGCCCAAATGTAAAAATGTAAAAGATAATGTGTTTTTTGACCCTTAAACTGCATAAACACATTTCATTACACCAAATACACAAAATAATGTTCTTTTTAGCAACATCATATGACCCCTTTATCTAAAGTAGTTTACTAATGTTAACAAATGAAACCTTGTTGTAAAACATTCTTCAAAATATCTATAGGCTACATTCCACAGAAGGAAGTCGTTTTCGAATAACATGAGTGTGAGTAAATGATTGGGTCTTTTGGGTGAATCTCTTTAACAAGAACCAGCAATCATGACAATAAAATAAAAATAAAATTAAAATGAATAAATAAAAACATCAGGCTGTGATGAACTAATCTGGGCATGGGAATATTTAAACAAAAGTTATGGCATTAAAATTATGTAGAAAAAAGACGTTTAATGTAAAAGTCAACCATAGTGACATTGACCATGCTATTTGGACCCCATGATGAAGGTAGTGGTGTTGGAGATGTCATTAACACAAATTACATCTATAAATTTAATCTATGCTTGAATTTTGTGCTTAGGCGATTTTAGTTTATGCTTTTTTCGTAATTTTGGAATTAGTTTTGACATTAAATCACTGCTGCAAGTCGAAAAGTGCGATCACATTTGACCGTTGCTTGACGAATGTTCCAAAAATTTCAACAGATTAACACACCGTAGCATATTTTTCCGAAGAAACAAGTATGTGGACTTAGCATGTTTCCTAAATATATGCAAACATATTATTGAATGTTTATGCTTTAGTACAGTAAAAAATGACATAGCCTGCAGCACCTTTAATCCACTCATTTTTACAGGATATCTCCTGTGTTTGAAATTTCCCCTCAGATCACGCAACAGGTTCAAGTTGGTCACCGAAATTTGCGTCTCCCCTGCCTATGGCTTTTTGAGTAGGGTTGACAGCCATATCTTTTGTAACCTGCTGCTGGCGCTATACATAAATGTGTGTGCGTTTGCGGGTAACCTGCATAGGACATCAGCGTGCTGATGAAATCCTCATGGTGTGTTGAGTAGACAGTTGAAGTGGTGTGTCAAAATGGTGGCAATTAATTTGGGATGAAATCAATGTAATTTTCACACTGCCAGTCAGAGATGGAGGGTGTTGAGGAGATGCTGCCAGTCACCGCCTGTCAAACAAATGCCCCGTGTTGCCTTGGAAACCGTCGCCTGATAGGTAAGAGGCAGAATAAAACTTTAAGTAGCTAGTTAATTGAAAATAAACTTTTCAAGTGCACGCGCAAACTCTTTTGTTTGTTTACAGTCTGCGAGCCGCAGTGTCAAATGCAAATACCTCAGAGAGATAAATGGCGAAATGTAGGAGACGATACCGAATAAGTCTGTTTGTCTCCCTCTCTTGGTTCTCATTAGGGATTATGGAGCGTCTAAGGGGTGGCAGAGCTGGGACTGATAAAGAAGCCTTGTTTCACACCAACCTAATCCCCCTGTGTCAATACACAGATAAAGCTTCAAATGGCGTGTGCAAAAGAGTCAAGGTAAACATATCAGAGCCTCGGTACTTCAAGTCTCAGGGTGCGTTTGGTAATAAGACAAACGCAGGCAGCGCGTCTCCCTCCGCAGAGGCGGAGATTAGCGGGAGAGGCAGCTGGCTTTGTCCCCTCGCTGAGGTGGCAAGAGAGGAGACACCGTAATCTAAAACCTCGCTGTGAAGTGCTAATGCATTTGATAAAAACAAAACAAAACAAAACAAAAAAGTTATTGAAGAAACCACTAATCAGGTGCTCACGTAATAACATTGGATGTCTGGAATACTCGACCCTGATTGGT